ACTGCGCTCCCCTTTAAATAACTAATTTTCCTCACTAATGATGACTTTAGTATAAAAATGACCTGCAGCTGGTTTTGTTGGAAGGAAAGTCGCTTCGTTCAGCCTGGATTAAAATAGTTCTATTTAGTTCTAATAGTTATTAACACATCTTTAACTCTAGATCATGTGCAGGCAGAACCTTCTGTCTTTAAATTAGGTATTAAAATGTGCTCCGCCTTAAAATGACATCATTGTTGTTTGATCCACTGAAATTATCATTTTAATTCAAATATCATGTTTTTATCTGTTTTTGCTGCTTCAGCTGTGAAACCAAACATGTTTCATGTTTCTCTATGTGGTTCGGCTGTAAAAGATGTGAAACTAGAAACAAGTCTTAACGGTGGGAATTATTTCCACATTTTTTCATTCATGCCATCAAAATCTGATCAGTAGTCAGCAATAAAGCATCTATTTTAGATTTATTGGGATGAGAAACATCTGGATGATTTCTGTCTTTCCGAGTCAAAGTATGATTTTGCTTTGGTAACCATGGAAACTGTGGCGCAAAAGATGAAAGGACCAGGCCAGCATTGCTACAGTATTCTATGGTGTATGCGTGACCTTCAAAATCTCAGTGAGACCTAGCTAGCTGGTCTCACTGAGATCAGCTAGCACCCCCAACGGAAACATGGTTAGCCTACTGGTCCATCAACGGATTCTGGACCTCCATGCTGAAACTCCCGCCGCCTGCAGCACTCCTAGATGGCTGCGCTTCCGTCAGAGTGGAAATGCTTCCATTGCATCGTTAGACGTTTGGTTCAGGTTTTCTAGGCTAGATGTCGTGGTTAGATGTTTGGTTCAGGTTTTCTAGGGTAGATGTCGTGGTTAGATGTTTGGTTCAGGTTTTCTAGGGTAGATGTCGTGGTTAGATGTTTGGTTCAGGTTTTCTAGGGTAGATGTCGTCGTTAGATGTTTGGTTCAGGTTTTCTAGGCTAGATGTCGTCGTTAGATGTTTGGTTCAGGTTTTCTAGGGTAGATGTCGTCGTTAGATGTTTGGTTCAGGTTTTCTAGGGTAGATGTCGTCGTTAGATGTTTGGTTCAGGTTTTCTAGGGTAGATGTCGTCGTTAGATGTTTGGTTCAGGTTTTCTAGGCTAGATGTCGTCGTTAGACGTTTGGTTCAGGTTTTCTTGGATAGATTGCGTCGTTAGACGTTTGGTTCAGGTTTTCTAGGGTAGATGTCGTGGTTAGACGTTTGGTTCAGGTTTTCTAGGGTAGATGTCGTCGTTAGACGTTTGGTTCAGGTTTTCTAGGGTAGATGTCGTCGTTAGACGTTTGGTTCATGTTTTCTAGGGTAGATGTCGTCGTTAGACGTTTGGTTCAGGTTTTCTAGGATAGATTGCGTCGTTAGACGTTTGGTTCAGGTTTTCTAGGGTAGATGTGGTCGTTAGATGTTTGGTTCAGGTTTTCTAGGCTAGATGTCGTCGTTAGATGTTTGGTTCAGGTTTTCTAGGGTAGATGTCGTCGTTAGATGTTTGGTTCAGGTTTTCTAGGGTAGATGTCGTCGTTAGATGTTTGGTTCAGGTTTTCTAGGGTAGATGTCGTCGTTAGATGTTTGGTTCAGGTTTTCTAGGCTAGATGTCGTCGTTAGACGTTTGGTTCAGGTTTTCTTGGATAGATTGCGTCGTTAGACGTTTGGTTCAGGTTTTCTAGGGTAGATGTCGTGGTTAGATGTTTGGTTCAGGTTTTCTAGGGTAGATGTCGTCGTTAGACGTTTGGTTCAGGTTTTCTAGGGTAGATGTCGTCGTTAGACGTTTGGTTCAGGTTTTCTAGGGTAGATGTCGTCGTTAGACGTTTGGTTCAGGTTTTCTAGGGTAGATGTCGTGGTTAGATGTTTGGTTCAGGTTTTCTAGGGTAGATGTCGTCGTTAGATGTTTGGTTCAGGTTTTCTAGGGTAGATGTCGTCGTTAGATGTTTGGTTCAGGTTTTCTAGGGTAGATGTCGTCGTTAGACGTTTGGTTCAGGTTTTCTAGGCTAGATGTCGTCGTTAGACGTTTGGTTCAGGTTTTCTTGGATAGATTGCGTCGTTAGACGTTTGGTTCAGGTTTTCTAGGGTAGATGTCGTGGTTAGATGTTTGGTTCAGGTTTTCTAGGGTAGATGTCGTCGTTAGACGTTTGGTTCAGGTTTTCTAGGGTAGATGTCGTCGTTAGACGTTTGGTTCAGGTTTTCTAGGGTAGATGTCGTGGTTAGATGTTTGGTTCAGGTTTTCTAGGGTAGATGTCGTCGTTAGACGTTTGGTTCAGGTTTTCTAGGGTAGATGTCGTCGTTAGACGTTTGGTTCAGGTTTTCTAGGGTAGATGTCGTCGTTAGACGTTTGGTTCAGGTTTTCTAGGGTAGATGTCGTCGTTAGATGTTTGGTTCAGGTTTTCTAGGGTAGATGTCGTGGTTAGATGTTTGGTTCAGGTTTTCTAGGGTAGATGTCGTGGTTAGACGTTTGGTTCAGGTTTTCTAGAGCAAGATGTCGTCGTTAGACGTTTGGTTCAGGTTTTCTAGGGTAGATGTCGTCGTTAGACGTTTGGTTCAGGTTTTCTAGGGTAGATGTCGTCGTTAGATGTTTGGTTCAGGTTTTCTAGGGTAGATGTCGTCGTTAGACGTTTGGTTCAGGTTTTCTAGGATAGATTGCGTCGTTAGACGTTTGGTTCAGGTTTTCTAGGGTAGATGTCGTGGTTAGACGTTTGGTTCAGGTTTTCTAGGGTAGAAGTCGTCGTTAGATGTTTGGTTCAGGTTTTCTAGGGTAGATATCGTGGTTAGATATTTGGTTCAGGTTTTCTAGGATAGATTGCGTCGTTAGACGTTTGGTTCAGATTTTCTAGGATAGATTGTATCTTTTGGTTCAGGTTTTCTAGGGTAGATTGTATCGTTAGACGCAGTGATGGGCAGTAGCGCCGCTACATGTAGCGAAGCTATTAGTTTAACTACATTTTCCAGTAGCTTGACCGTAGCGTCGCTGCTTTATTTATCAAGTAACTTTCCTGTAGCGACGTTATTGTTTTGATCAAGTAGTGACTTAGCGTCCACAAACGCTACAAAATCCAGGGCAAAACTAAGAAATTAAACCAGGTTTTCTATTTTGAAACAACAATCAGCCACAAAACTACTGTAAATAGCAGTTTCAGCTGACGCTCTTCTAAGTGGCGTAGTAGCACAGGCACACTCAGTAGGGTTAAACAAGCGCACCCTTTCCGAGGCTGTCGTTCTATTGGCTGGAAAGGTTGCTAGGCAACGATCCAACTGCAATCTGAGTGAGAGCAAAAAAAATCCGCAAGCAGAACCTACAGGTTTGCGAGCGTATCTGAGACTCGAACAGAGCGCGGTTTGTGCGCGAAGAGAAGGAGGCAAGCGAGAGGAGAAAATATCTGTGCAAGCATTAAATCTGAGAGAAGAGAAAATATTTGAGAGAGAGCGCATGTTTTAATTGTGAGCATTATAAGTTTTGAGTGGAAGATGAAATTCTTTTCTCTAATTAAAATGATGTGCTCTTGCATTATGGCAGGATAATTCTCCCATATGTGCCACTAAGATACTCTAATTAGAGATCAGTAGTGAAACTTCCATATTGTATTTTCATGGCCTAGTTTACCTGACAGGATGTTTACATAAATCTGTTTTTAGGCTTAGTTGCACAGATAAGATTTTTTAGGTATGGAGGAACAGCTCTACCGTATATATAAAATAAATACATAAAAAAATAAACGCTCAATGAATAAATAAATAAGCATTCAATTAATTACCTCCAAAATACAATGAATAAATATGTAGGTAGAAATAAAATTATATGGTGAGACATAAATATATGTATCACTTAATTAGCTTCTTTATTTTTTCACCTTTTTTTGTAAAGTTTTATTTGTTACTTGAATCGACTGTTTAATTGAGGTCTGAAGAAGTTTTCTCTAAGGGAGACCCTAAAGAAATAAGATGCCTTTTGTAGGGTTTTGTTTTCCCTAGAGATGTTCATTGAATGCAAACTCATAGCCATGTCTCGGTGTGTAGAACACTACACCGTACCTTTAATTCGGTTATAATACCAGCAGATTGTTTACTAGTTTGTCTACTAGTAATTACTTTAGTTTTTATTTTAATATGCTGATCATAAAGCAATGTTTAGACTGTTATGTCATTGGCTGATCTTTAATAAATGTTTTAACCAGTGCATCAGACCCATTTTGAATTGATATTAGGTTGGTACAACGTTAAGTAGCTTCTGATGTAGTTAAGCTACTTTTAACACATTAGTGTAACTTAGCTTGCTATAATTCTTTAGGTGGTAGCTTTGGTGTAGTGAAGCTTAATTTATTGTTGAGTAACTGATAGCTGAGCTCACTACACTGGACAAGTAGCTAGCCCAACACTGGTTAGACGTTTGGTTCAGGTTTTCTAGGGTAGATTGTATCGTTTGGTTCAGGTTTTCTAGGGTAGATTGTATCGTTTGGTTCAGGTTTTCTAGGATAGATTGTATCGTTAGACGTTTGGTTCAGGTTTTCTAGGATAGATTGTATCGTTAGACGTTTGGTTCAGGTTTTCTAGGGTAGATTGTATCGTTTGGTTCAGGTTTTCTAGGGTAGATTGTATCGTTTGGTTCAGGTTTTCTAGGGTAGATTGTATCGTTTGGTTCAGGTTTTCTAGGATAGATTGTATCGTTAGACGTTTGGTTCAGGTTTTCTAGGGTAGATTGTATCGTTTGGTTCAGGTTTTCTAGGGTAGATTGTATCGTTTGGTTCAGGTTTTCTAGGATAGATTGTATCGTTAGACGTTTGGTTCAGGTTTTCTAGGATAGATTGTATCGTTTGGTTCCGAATGTTTTGAAGAAAAGACGAAACAACATGGCTGAGTTCATCTTTAATGTGACAGCTCACCGTGAATGAAAATAAAATCCCCCTCTATGAGACGGAATGGTTCGGTCCAACGGGCCCAGCCCTCTAATTGGTCCAGATCTCGCCGCATCATGGCTGCTTCGGACCACAGCCTGGGTTCTACTGGGTTCTGCTCAGCCTCATGGAGCAGCGATGCAGAGGAGGGAAAACAACAAAGGAAAAACAGGAAGTCCTAAACCGCGTCACTTCCTCCTGCTGGGGTCCGGTGCTGTGAGCAGGATGCGGCAGCCAATCAGAGTCCGGCTCTCAGGTGCGCCTCCTCTTGGCGCCTCCCGGGCTCGCCGGGTTGGAAGACGACAGCAGTTTCTCTGTGGCTCGGCTCCTCTTCCTCTTTTCGGCTTCTTTGGATCCTCCTGCCGGTCCTCCTTCCCCTCCTCCCTTCTCCTTCTCGCGGCCGCCACCGCCGCTCGTTCGCTCCGTCATCTTCACAGAGGAGTTACTTCCTGTGGAGGCAAAGGAGGAAGTTAGAGCGAAGCTCCTCCTGAGTGGGATGGAGCAGCGGCTACACTCTAACATCCATCTGTGGTCATCAGAACCGGGCCGTAACCAGAAGGACCACCTGGATAGATCAGCTGAACTGGGATTGTTCTGGTTGGAAGACTGGCAGCTGATTGGACAGAAGGACTGGAACCAGTCTGTCCTTGAGCCGGGCCCAGTTCCGTCAGAACCACAGGTCAGAAAATTCAGCAGACGATGGTTGTGATGAAACGTTTGGAAGAAACGGTGAAGTGATGTTAAAGAGCTTAAAGGAAACGACTCAACTCCCTATTTGAGGGAAGGTCTGTAGAGACCGCCATGGACTCCCTGACGCCGGAGATACAGGATACGGACTGAGTCCCACAGTCTGCCCTGACCTGTACAGACCCTCCACCCTGACCCCCATAGACTCTCCACACTGACCCTAATAGACCGTCCGCCCAGACCCCCATAGACTCTCCGCCCTGACCTCTAGAGACCGTCCACCCTGACCCCCATAGACTCTCCACACTGACCCTAATAGACCGTCCGCCCTGACCCCCATAGACTCTCCGCCCTGACCTCTAGAGACCGTCCGCCCTGACCCCCATAGACTCTCCACACTGACCTGTACAGACCCTCCACCCTGACCCCCATAGACTCTCCACACTGACCCTAATAGACCGTCCGCCCAGACCCCCATAGACTCTCCGCCCTGACCTCTAGAGACCGTCCGCCCTGACCCCCATAGACTCTCCGCCCTGACCTCTAGAGACCGTCCGCCCTGACCCCCATAGACTCTCCACACTGACCTGTACAGACCCTCCACCCTGACCCCCATAGACCGTCCGCCCTGACCCCCATAGACTCTCCACACTGACCTGTACAGACCCTCCACCCTGACCCCCATAGACTCTCCACACTGACCCTAATAGACCGTCCGCCCAGACCCCCATAGACTCTCCGCCCTGACCTCTAGAGACCGTCCGCCCTGACCCCCATAGACTCTCCACACTGACCTGTACAGACCCTCCACCCTGACCCCCATAGACCGTCCGCCCTGACCCCCATAGACTCTCCACACTGACCTGTACAGACCCTCCACCCTGACCCCCATAGACTCTCCACACTGACCCTAATAGACCGTCCGCCCAGACCCCCATAGACTCTCCGCCCTGACCTCTAGAGACCGTCCGCCCTGACCCCCATAGACTCTCCACACTGACCTGTACAGACCCTCCACCCTGACCCCCATAGACTCTCCACACTGACCCTAATAGACCGTCCGCCCAGACCCCCATAGACTCTCCGCCCTGACCTCTAGAGACCGTCCGCCCTGACCCCCATAGACTCTCCACACTGACCTGAACAGACCCTCCACCCTGACCCCCATAGACTCTCCACACTGACCTGTACAGACCCTCCACCCTGACCCCCATAGACTCTCCACACTGACCCTAATAGACCGTCCGCCCTGACCCCCATAATAAAGGGATTTATGTTGCCTCAGTCTCTCTGAAGGGACCTGGGTTCTCTCAGGGTACTCCAGTCTTCCTCAGTCCAGGCAGGCCCAGAGCTCTGGAGGTCTGTATCTGAGATGGAGCAGCCTGAGTCTGAAGGGTGAGTGGGAGAAGGTTACCTTCTTCATGCGTAGCAGGAGGTTCTCTGTCCATCCTGACCTCCTCCTTGGTCTCCTCCTCTGAGCCCAGCTTCCCTGCAAACACATGAGGAACCTGAGAACAGCAGAATGATGGAGCAGGAAGGCTGTCTGCACCAGGAGCTTCTCACCTCCTTTCACCTCCTGGATGATCTCCTCCGGCAGAGAGAAGCTCTTCTCCGTGTTTGGAAACGGCAGGATCTCAGACTCGTGCTGCGGGTCAGAGAACCGGGTCAGAACCAGAGCATGGTGGTGGTGGGGGGTGTTTATGGGGGTGTGTCCTACCAGGGCCTGCATGTCGTACATGGTCCCCAGGTGGTCCCAGATGATGGAGGAGGACACCTGCCTGCCGATGTTCTGGCTGAACTTGTCCCGGATGCAGATCATGTGGAAGTGACGGTTCACGCCTGCAGACAGAGAGCGGCTCCATCAGAACCACTTCAGAACCAGCTAGAACCGGTCAGCTTCAAGTCCACTCTGCTGGTTCCCTTTCCAACAGCTAATCTGGTTCCGTGGTTCTCCAGGATCAACAAGGGTTCAACAAAAAGGTTCCTAGAACTGATTGGTGACCTTTAGTTTCTATTTGCACATCGTTCAGAAGTTCTAGCTTGTTTTGCTGTTTTTATGGGAATTCTGCGATTTCTGAGCATAGACTTCTACGCTTAGATCTACTTTTCTACCACTCAGTTTGGATCTATAAAAGTTCCTCATTCTAGAAAATAAGAAGCAGCAAAAGGAAAACTGAATGAAACAAGATCTGCATGATCTGAGAATGATGGAGGACGAGAACCGCCTCTTTAATCTGCATTTATTAGATCGTTTTTACTTTTAGCTCCAAATATGGTGGTGATGAACCTTTTTAATATTTAATCAGGTGAGATAATAACATTTCTAATAACCACCATCATCATATGTATGGTGCGATTCTATGCGTATTATGTTCCTGTTTTAGATCAGAGGTAGAACGACAGAAGAGGAAGAAGATTAGAAGAGAGTGAAGGAAAAAAGGAAGACTGATGGAAAGATCAGTTTACGGGAAGAAAAATCTACTATTAGAGTTAAACAGAGCAGGCAGGAGGCAGCTAGACAGAAAAGGAGGCAGAGACTGAGTGACTAGATGGCTCCAATAAAGACTATTGGATGATTCATTTAATTCATCTGAGGAAATAGGAGAGAAACATTTATGGATTTAACGCCTGATTATTGTTGTTTAAATATTAATATGTGAAAATGGATGAAAGCATCACTGTTTTCTTTTGGATTAAATGTTTTTATTTTTTATCTAAAAGCTGAAATTGTTCCCAGACTGGATTCAGAAACCTGGTCTCCTGATGGATCAGGTTCTTTAAATCCGGACCTGATGGTTCGATTGGTTTCGGACCAGCTGAAGGTTCTGGCTAATCTCAATAGTAGCCGTTAGCATCGGCGCTAACTAGCATTAGCAGCCTTACCCACTGGTTTGTGTCCGATCATCGCGTGGAAAAGACACACCTCCACTTCATGGCTCCACACCACCGAGTCCTCCCCGAGAACCAGAGCCGAGTCCGGGGGCTTCTCCTCGGCCTGACTGAGGGTCACTTCGGCCTCCCCCATCTCCAGAACCGGACAGAACCAGAGAGAGCTCCGAGGATCCAAGCTAGCAGGAGCAGGCTGGAACCGGAACTAGAACCCAACTACCGGAAGCTGATTTACAAAATAAAAGCTGGCAGTCCCTCCTTTCATCTGAGCCCGGCTGATGGTTCAGATCCATCAGGCTGGATAGTGGTGAAGAAGGGAACAGACATGGAACAGACCTGGAACAGACCTGGAAGAGCCCTGGAACAGGCCTGAAACTGACCTGGAACAGACCTGGAACAGGCCTGGAAGAGACCTGGAACAGACCTTGAAGAGACCTGAAACTGACCTGGAACAGACCTGGAACAGGCCTGGAAGAGACCTGGAACAGACCTTGAAGAGACCTGAAACTGACCTGGAACAGACCTGGAACAGGCCTGGAAGAGACCTGGAACAGACCTTGAAGAGACCTGAAACTGACCTGGAACAGACCTGAAACTGACCTGGAACAGACCTGAAAGAGACCTGAACCCGCATGGAAACCGAGTCCTGAGCACAGCGGACCTGAATCCACATGGAGACCGAGTCCTGAGCTCAACGGACCTGAACCCGCATGGAGACCGAGTCCTGAGCTCAACGGACCTGAACCCGCATGGAGACAGAGTCCTGAGCTCAGCGGACCTGAACCCGCATGGAAACCGAGTCCTGAGCTCAACGGACCTGAACCCGCATGGAGACCGAGTCCTGAACTCGGCAGACCTGAACCCGCATGGAGACCGAGTCCTGAGCTAAATGGACCTGAACCCGCATGGAGACCGAGTCCTGAGCTCAGCGGACCTGAACCCGCATGGAGACCGAGTCCTGAGCTCAACGGACCTGAACCCGCATGGAGAACGAGTCCTGAGCTAAATGGACCTGAACCCGCATGGAGACCGAGTCCTGAGCTAAATGGACCTGAACCCGCATGGAGACCGAGTCCTGAGCTAAATGGACCTGAACCCGCATGGAGACCAAGTCCTGAGCTAAATGGACCTGAACCCGCATGGAGACCGAGTCCTGAGCTCAACGGACCTGAACCCGCATGGAGAACGAGTCCTGAGCTAAATGGACCTGAACCCGCATGGAGAACGAGTCCTGAGCTAAATGGACCTGAACCCGCATGGAGACCGAGTCCTGAGCTCAGCGGATCTGAACCCGCATGGAGACCGAGTCCTGAGCTTAATGGACCTGAACCCGCATGGAAACTGAGTCCTGAGCTCAACGGACCTGAACCCGCATGGAGAACGAGTCCTGAGCTAAATGGACCTGAACCCGCATGGAGAACGAGTCCTGAGCTAAATGGACCTGAACCCGCATGGAGACCGAGTCCTGAGCTCAGCGGATCTGAACCCGCATGGAGACCGAGTCCTGAGCTAAATGGACCTGAACCCGCATGGAGACCGAGTCCTGAGATTAATGGACCTGAACCCGCATGGAGACCGAGTCCTGAGATTAATGGACCTGAACCCGCATGGAGACCGAGTCCTGAGCTAAATGGACCTGAACCCGCATGGAAACCGAGTCCTGAGCTCAACGGACCTGAACCCGCATGGAAACCGAGTCCTGAGCTCAACGGACCTGAACCCGCATGGAGACCGAGTCCTGAGCTAAATGGACCTGAACCCGCATGGAAACCGAGTCCTGAGCTCAGCGGACCTGAACCCGCATGGAGACAGAGTCCTGAGCTAAATGGACCTGAATCCGCATGGAGACCGAGTCCTGAGATCAGCGGACCTGAACCCGCATGGAGACCGAGTCCTGAGCTAAATGGACCTGAACCCGCATGGAGACCGAGGCCTGAGCTCAGCGGACCTGAACCCGCATGGAGACCGAGTCCTGAGCTAAATGGACCTGAACCCCATGGAAACCGAGTCCTGAGCTCAGCGGACCTGAACCCGCATGGAAACCGAGTCCTGAGCTCAACGGACCTGAACCCGCATGGAAACCGAGTCCTGAGCTCAGCGGACCTGAACCCGCATGGAAACCGAGTCCTGAGCTCAGCGGACCTGAACCCGCATGGAGACCGAGTCCTGAGCTAAATGGACCTGAACCCGCATGGAGACCGAGTCCTGAGCTAAATGGACCTGAACCCGCATGGAGACCGAGTCCTGAGCTAAATGGACCTGAACCCGCATGGAGACCGAGTCCTGAGCTAAATGGACCTGAACCCGCATGGAGACCGAGTCCTGAGCTAAATGGACCTGAACCCGCATGGAGACCGAGTCCTGAGCTAAATGGACCTGAACCCGCATGGAGACCGAGTCCTGAGATCAGCGGACCTGAACCCGCATGGAGACCGAGTCCTGAGCTCAGCGGACCTGAACCCGCATGGAGACCGAGTCCTGAGCTAAATGGACCTGAACCCGCATGGAGACCGAGTCCTGAGCTCAGCGGACCTGAGGATTCAGTTTCCATGCTGGTTCTGGTCCACCGAGTACAGGACCAGAACTTCTGCTCCTCTTCAACAGTTGAAGCTTCGGTTTCAAAGATGGCGGCAGCACCAGCCCTGTGGACCGAGGAGCCCAGAGGACCAGAACTGTGTTAGCAGCAGTTCTAAAACTATCCGGTTAAAGTCCAGAACCAGACTGGACTGCCTAGAACATGCAGACTGGGGTAACTGAGCAGAACTCACCCTGGGCCCGCATGAAGTTCTGGAATGGTTCTGAATGTGGAGCTAGAGTCAAACAAACGGGTCGGTTATGAGACGGAACCACCGAGAGCTTTATTGCAAACAGACAGTTTGGGCAGAAAAAGAAAACATTTGAGAAACATCAGCTAGTTTCTGAACAGAACCGGACCCAGGCAGAACTTTAGGACCATCTGGGTCTGTTCAGCAGTGGCTGGGCATCATGGGAAATGTAGTTCCAGGGAATCCATCCTTCTTCCTCGGTTTCCTGTTACTCCACGGACCGACCCGTTACTGTCCGAGCTCCTCTGCAGATCAACGACCCGATCCATGGACACCAAACGACCCGACCATCAGGATCCATCAGGACCCGACCATCAGGACCAGAATTTAATGTTTTAATTTATTTGACACTGTGAGAAACTGGACAATAAATGCTCCCTTTCATCAGAACCAGACACTCTTTAGCTCCTGGCTGCTGATTGGCCGGGCTGATCCTCCTCCTCCAGTCTGTCCACCAATCACAGGGGGAGGTTCTGATGAACTGGGAGCTGAACGGTGTTTGTTGGTCCTGCTGAAGTTCTGTTCCAGAGGAGACGGTTCTACTGAATCCCGTCTCTAAAACAGACCTGTCCAACATGGCGCTGGCTCCGACGCCCTCACTGCTGAAGCGACGACAAAGAAAAACCTGAACTGATTTCAAACATTTTTACAGGAACAAAGTGAAGCTGAGCGGAAAGAATGACAGCGAGCAACAGAAGCAGATCAACCAGGAAGCAGAGACTCTCCAACCACCACCGTCTACTGCTTCCTGCTCCATCCCAGCAGGCCAGGTTCAAGCCCCGCCCACGCATTTGGTCCCGCCCCTCAGCAGCTCCTGTTTTCATGGCTGCAGCCGTGGCGAGGAGAAGTCAGGCAGCACCGTAACCATGGAGACTGGACACAAAATCGTTGGCAACATAAGCCTCGCCTTCAGCATGAGTGGGCGGGGCTTCAGTAAAATGAGGGGATTTGGGGGATGGCAGCGATGGATCCTATTGGTCCTTTTTCTTCTCAGCTCCTGATGACCCTTTTTCCTCTTTAGGCTCCTCCTCCTCAGAAGACTCCTCGTACCTGCAGGGAGAGAGAGGGGGCGGGGTTTATAACGCGCCAATCAACGACTGACCAACGTTTAACTTAACTTTCCATGTAAAGATCAAACAAACAGTTCGTCTTGCTTTATTTATGAGGTGAAGGCGGGTTAAACTGGAACCTTCCCACTATGTTCACTTATGGGACTGGATGGAACCAGCCGATCTGGATGGATTCATCTTCATCTTCACAAGATACGCAATGTTCTAACAACCCAGTTCTGTTGGTTCTGGTTCTGCAGAGGAGCTTGTAATGGGTCTCCTGGGTTTGGTTCCTACTGGAGACCCTCGGATGGAGGACGGGCATTCTACCTGCCCAGGTGATGGGGTCTACATGGAGTCAGGCTGAGGACGACGGAAACGCAGGGAGGAGGCGGTTTTCAAGGTTTCCATGGATGAAGCCAGGCTGGCAGGAGAGCCGCTGACGGTCGGGAAGGAAGTGATCCGTGGAGAGGCAGGAAGGACTTCCTCTGAAGACTCGTAGCTATGACGACGGGCAGAAAGGAAAAGAAGTGGGCAGAAGAGGATGAAATGAAGAGGGAGGATGAGAAGAAGAAAGCAGGATGTAAGATTTTCATCTTGAACTTCAAAGTTTATTCAATCTGAAGCTGAGGTGAGGAAAGTAAATGAGACAGGAGAGAAGGAAGGAAGGAATGAAGACGCCAGAGAAGGAGAAACGATGGAGGCAGATCCAGAAAGCTTTGATTGAAAATATGAGCTTCCAGATTGCAGAGCCTCATCATCCTCCTGGTCCCCCCATGGTTCTGGGTTCATCCAGCAGAACTTCAGAGCCCAAACCTGATCAGACCTCTGCTGGTTCCGCCCAACTGAAACATCTGCATGAACCTCTGGCCCACAGTCTCAACAGATGATCCACAACATCATCTCAAACTAGAGGATCCTCATTCCTCAAAACAGATCCTGGCCTCCAAAAAAAAAAGAAAGGGTGGAGGAGCCCAACGATGGGGGAACAGATGACGGAGGAACTAATGGTTGGAGGGAACCAATAGTTGGAGGAACCGACGGTTGTAGGAGCAATGTCTTAATGACGCCGTCTGATGTCCGAGGTGAGACTAAATTTTCTAAATTAATGACATAATTACTATTTTCTCCTTTATCCACAGATCCCCCGCCCCCCAGATTCACAGTGACCCAGATCTACCCCCACACAGGACATACAAGGTGAGAACTGGAAAAAGTCCTGCTGAGATTCTTCATCAGACGCTGCCTTGGTCAGTTAGAGCTATGGCCTCAGCAGTGCTGCCACCTGCAGGTGACCGCAGGTGGAGCCGTTTCATGGGTGCTGGGTTCAGTGGAAAAACAGCTGATCCAATTTGCAGGTGTGAAAGGTGCCAATACTTCTTCAAAAAAAGTTCAAAATCAATCCTCTGGACTTTGTTTCCAAGTTTGAAGACGTTTCTCTTCCATCCAGGAAGATTTTTAATTCCAAATGTCAGAAATAGCGTTTAGTTCCAGGTTTTATCCAGCAGCCCAACAAAGCCTGGTTTTAGTTTAGAAAACATGCAAATAGAAACGGATGAACGGGTCCCCCCCTTTGGAATGGGGGATCTTTAAAGTTGTTATCCTGCAATACCGTAGACTGGTCTATGTCTCTGAAAGGGGGGGTCGGTGAGATGTCTCGGCCTCCTGCATGGCGAGGAGGGTTATGAGAGCGGGAAGGAATCAACTATCGCTGAAAGCCTCTGTTTAAGGAGGGTTTTCTCCTATTTATTTAACTGATTTCAGTTTGTTTACGTTCCCTTCCCCATGTTGCCATGGTTACCTGTGGAGTACCACAGGGATCAGTGCTAGGACCAATTCTCTTTACTTTATACATGCTCCCGATTGGTAGAGTTATTAGACAGCATGGGATTAATTTCCACTGTTATGCTGATGATACCCAGCTATATCTGTCTATAAATCCAGATGAAGCTAACCCATTACATAGATTACAGGCATGTCTGAAGACAGAAAAACCTGGATGACTCTTAACTTTCTGCTCCTGAATGCAGACAAAACAGAAGTTATAGTCTTTGGACCAGAGTCTCTGAAAAAGAAGCTGATTAGTCAGTCACTTCATTTGGATGGGATTAAACTGATTTCAGATAATAAAGTAAAAAATCTTGGTGTTATTTTTGATCAGGACCTGTCATTTAAATCCCATATCAAAGAGGTTTCTAGAATATCCTTCTTTCATCTGAGGAATATTGCAAAAATGAGCAATCTCCTGTCCAGGGGTGATGCTGAGAAACTAGTCCATGCATTTGTTACTTCAAGGCTGGACTATTGTAATTCTTTACTATCAGGAAGTCCACAAACTGTAGTTAAAAGCCTTCAGCTGATCCAAAATGCTGCAGCCAGAGTTCTAATGAAAATGAAAAAGAGAGATCATATCTCTCCTATCCTGGCTTCTCTTCATTGGCTTCCTGTTAAATCCAGAATAGAATTTAAAATCCTCCTTCTCACATATAAAGCCTTAAATGGCCAAGCTCCATCTGATATCAGAGATCTGATTGTTCCTTATGTTCCTAACAGAGCACTTCGCTCTCAATCTGCAGGTTTACTAGTGGTTCCTAGAATTTCTAAAAGTAGAATGGGAGGCAGATCTTTTAGTTCTCAGGCTCCTCTCCTGTGGAACCAACTACCAGTTTTAGTCCGTGAGGCAGACATCCTGTCTACTTTTAAGGCTAGGCTTAAAACTTTCTGTATTGACGTCTTCAGCTTCCAGCTTTATTGGAGCCCAAACATTCTAGAATAAAAAAGTCTATCTAAGCAGATCCTGGGTTTTATTTCTATCCTCTTCCCTCCAGAGGGAAGGTGATGAACATGCAGATCAGGGTTACTGTTTACTGAGGTTTTACAGATGATGAGGCTGGTTGTCATGGTTACTCACCTGAACATCTCCGTCAGCTCTCCTTTGGCCAGCGCCACAATGACGGGAAAGCCGACACACGCGGGAACCAGGTACAGCAGAGCGGGCTGCAGACACACACACAGACAGAGACGGTCAGAGCTTCACGCCGACCCGCAGCGGTCCGTGGCGCCGGTCCAACCAGCACCATGAACCTGGACCCGAGGTTTTGGATGTTTCCTGGCTTAGAATCAGAACCTTGTTCTGGTCAAACTACCTGAGCGTGTTTGAAGGTGTGCATGACGAAGATGGTGAGGCCCAGTCCGAAGATGTAGGCCAGGAAGCTGGAGTAGAAGTAGGTCCTGCTGTTCTTCTTCAAGCTGCACACAGACGGAGACATGAGGACGGATCAGCAGGACAGGCTGCTGGACTTACCGGCAGCAGTACCTGACGTCGAAGCGCAGCAGCAGGGCGATGAAGATCCCTGGGATGACGATGTCTCCCAGTCCCAGCATGGCGAAGTTACTGGCCTCCAGGCCTCTCTCCAGCAGGTCCTGAGGGAACACCACTGGGAGACAGAGACACAGACAGAGACGCAGATGAAGACAGAGACACAGATGGAGACAGAGACACAGATAAAGACAGAGACACAGATGGAGACAGAGACACAGATGAAGACAGAGACACAGATGGAGACGGAGACACAGATGGAGACGGAGACAGAGACACAGATAAAGACAGAGACACAGATGGAGACAGAGACGCAGATAAAGACAGAGACACAGATAAAGACAGAGACACAGATGGAGACGGAGACAGAGACGCAGATAAAGACAGAGACACAGATGGAGACAGAGACGCAGATAAAGACAGAGACACAGATGGAGACGGAGACACAGATGGAGACGGAGACAGAGACGCAGATAAAGACAGAGACACAGATGGAGACAGAGACGCAGATAAAGACAGAGACACAGATGGAGACAGAGACGCAGATAAAGACAGAGACACAGATAAAGACAGAGACACAGATGGAGACGGAGACAGAGACGCAGATAAAGACAGAGACACAGATGGAGACAGAGACGCAGATAAAGACAGAGACACAGATGGAGACGGAGACACAGATGGAGACGGAGACACAGATGGAGACAGAGACAGAGACGCAGATAAAGACAGAGACACAGATGGAGACAGAGACGCAGATAAAGACAGAGACACAGATGGAGACAGAGACACAGATGGAGACAGAGACACAGATGGAGACAGAGACAAAGACAGAGACGCAGATGAAGACAGAGACACAGATGGAGACAGAGACACAGATAAAGACAGAGACACAGATGGAGACAGAGACGCAGATAAAGACAGAGACACAGATGGAGACGGAGACACAGATGGAGACGGAGACACAGATGGAGACGGAGACAGAGACGCAGATAAAGACAGAGACACAGATGGAGACAGAGACGCAGATAAAGACAGAGACACAGATGGAGACGGAGACACAGATGGAGACGGAGACACAGATGGAGACAGAGACACAGATGGAGAGGGAGACACAGATGGAGACAGAGACACAGATAAAGACAGAGACACAGATGGAGACAGAGACGCAGATAAAGACAGAGACACAGATGGAGACAGAGACGCAGATAAAGACAGAGACACAGATGGAGACAGAGACGCAGATAAAGACAGAGACACAGATGGAGACAGAGACACAGATGGAGACAGAGACACAGATGGAGACAGAGACACAGATGGAGACAGAGACAAAGGCAGAGACGCAGATGAAGACAGAGACACAGATGGAGACAGAGACACAGATAAAGACAGAGACACAGATGGAGACAGAGACGCAGATAAAGACAGAGACACAGATGGAGACGGAGACACAGATGGAGACGGAGACAGAGACGCAGATAAAGACAGAGACACAGACAGAGACACAGATGGAGACAGAGACACAGATGGAGACGGAGACACAGATGGAGACGGAGACACAGATGGAGACGGAGACACAGATGGAGACGGAGACACAGATGGAGACAGAGACACAGATGGAGACGGAGACACAGATGGAGACGGAGACAGAGACACAGATAAAGACAGAGACACAGATGGAGACAGAGACGCAGATAAAGACAGAGACACAGATGGAGACAGAGACACAGATGGAGACAGAGACACAGATGGAGACAGAGACACAGATGGAGACAGAGACACAGATGGAGACGGAGACAGAGACACAGATAAAGACAGAGACACAGATGGAGACAGAGACGCAGATAAAGACAGAGACACAGATGGAGACAGAGACACAGATGGAGACAGAGACACAGATGGAGACAGAGACACAGATGGAGACAGAGACGCAGATGGAGACAGAGACAAAGACAGAGACGCAGATGAAGACAGAGACACAGATGGAGACAGAGACACAGATGGAGACGGAGACACAGATGGAGACGGAGACAGAGACACAGATAAAGACAGAGACACAGATGGAGACAGAGACGCAGATAAAGACAGAGACACAGATGGAGACAGAGACACAGATGGAGACAGAGACGCAGATAAAGACAGAGACACAGATGGAGACAGAGACGCAGATAAAGACAGAGACACAGATGGAGACAGAGACGCAGATAAAGACAGAGACACAGATGGAGACAGAGACACAGATGGAGACAGAGACACAGATGGAGACAGAGACAAAGACAGAGACGCAGATGAAGACAGAGACACAGATGGAGACAGAGACACAGATGGAGACGGAGACACAGATGGAGACGGAGACAGAGACGCAGATAAAGACAGAGACACAGATGGAGACAGAGACGCAGATAAAGACAGAGACACAGATGGAGACAGAGACGCAGATAAAGACAGAGACACAGATGGAGACAGAGACACAGATAAAGACAGAGACACAGATGGAGACAGAGACGCAGATAAAGACAGAGACACAGATGGAGACGGAGACACAGATGGAGACGGAGACAGAGACGCAGATAAAGACAGAGACACAGATGGAGACAGAGACGCAGATGGAGACAGAGAAACAGATGGAGACAGAGACGCAGATAAAGACAGAGACACAGATGGAGACAGAGACACAGATGGAGACAGAGACGCAGATAAAGACAGAGACACAGATGGAGACAGAGACACAGATGGAGACAGAGACGCAGATAAAGACAGAGACACAGATGGAGACGGAGACACAGATGGAGACGGAGACAGAGACGCAGATAAAGACAGAGACACAGATGGAGACAGAGACGCAGATGGAGACAGAGACACAGATGGAGACAGAGACGCAGATAAAGACAGAGACACAGATGGAGACAGAGACACAGATGGAGACAGAGACGCAGATAAAGACAGAGACACAGATGGAGACAGAGACAAAGACAGAGACGCAGATGAAGACAGAGACACAGATGGAGACAGAGACACAGATGGAGACGGAGACACAGATGGAGACGGAGACAGAGACACAGATAAAGACAGAGACACAGATGGAGACAGAGACGCAGATGGAGACGGAGACACAGATGGAGACAGAGACACAGATGGAGACAGAGACACAGATGGAGACAGAGACACAGATGGAGACGGAGACACAGATGGAGACGGAGACAGAGACGCAGATAAAGACAGAGACACAGATGGAGACAGAGACGCAGATAAAGACAGAGACACAGATGGAGACAGAGACACAGATGGAGACAGAGACGCAGATAAAGACAGAGACACAGATGGAGACAGAGACAAAGACAGAGACGCAGATGAAGACAGAGACACAGATGGAGACAGAGACACAGATGGAGACGGAGACACAGATGGAGACGGAGACAGAGACACAGATAAAGACAGAGACACAGATGGAGACAGAGACAGAGACGCAGACAGAGGCGCAGATAAAGACAGAGACACAGATGGAGACAGAGACAAAGACAGAGACGCAGATGAAGACAGAGACACAGATGGAAACAAATAGAGAGACGAAGACAGACAGGATCAGGACATCAGGGGGAGCAGGAGGAGCTCTGGACCATCACTTACGTTTGATTGGTGCCTCGAATGACTTGGCCACCGTTACCATGACGTTGGTCCCAAACACCTGGAGGAGAGGGGACAGGTGGGACGGAGACACTACGTCAGAAAAACTCCATCTGCAGAACCTGATTCTGCTCAGACTTTGAGCTGAAGCGTCTGAACCATGTTTCAAACCAGCTTCTACTTCAGGTTCCAGAACATTCTACCGGATCATCAGCAGAACATTCTACCAGATCCTCAGCAGAACATTCTACCAGATCCTCAGCAGAACATTCTACCGGATCCTCAGCAGAACATTCTACCGGATCATCAGCAGAACATTCTACCGGATCCTCAGCAGAACATTCTACCGGATCCTCAGCAGAACATTCTACCGGATCCTCAGCAGAACATTCTACCGGATCCTCAGCAGAACATTCTACCGGATCCTCAGCAGAACATTCTACCGGATCCTCAGCAGAACATTCTACCGGATCATCAGCAGAACATTCTACCGGATCATCAGCAGAACATTCTACCGGATCATCAGCAGAACATTCTACCGGATCCTCAGCAGAACATTCTACCAGATCCTCAGCAGAACATTCTACCGGATCCTCAGCAGAACATTCTACCGGATCATCAGCAGAACATTCTACCGGATCCTCAGCAGAACATTCTACCGGATCCTCAGCAGAACATTCTACCGGATCCTCAGCAGAACATTCTACCGGATCCTCAGCAGAACATTCTACCGGATCCTCAGCAGAACATTCTACCGGATCATCAGCAGAACATTCTACCGGATCCTCAGCAGAACATTCTACCGGATCCTCAGCAGAACATTCTACCGGATCCTCAGCAGAACATTCTACCGGATCCTCAGCAGAACATTCTACCGGATCCTCAGCAGAACATTCTCCGGATCCTCAGCAGAACATTCTACCGGATCCTCAGCAGAACATTCTACCGGATCATCAGCAGAACATTCTACCGGATCCTCAGCAGAACATTCTACCGGATCATCAGCAGAACATTCTACCGGATCATCAGCAGAACATTCTACCGGATCCTCAGCAGAACATTCTACCGGATCCTCAGCAGAACATTCTACCGGATCCTCAGCAGAACATTCTACCGGATCATCAGCAGAACATTCTACCGGATCATCAGCAGAACATTCTACCGGATCCTCAGCAGAACATTCTACCAGATCATCAGCAGAACATTCTACCGGATCCTCAGCAGAACATTCTACCAGATCCTCAGCAGAACATTCTACCGGATCCTCAGCAGAACATTCTACCGGATCCTCAGCAGAACATTCTACCGGATCCTCAGCAGAACATTCTACCGGATCCTCAGCAGAACATTCTACCGGATCCTCAGCAGAACATTCTACCAGATCCTCAGCAGAACATTCTACCGGATCCTCAGCAGAACATTCTACCAGATCCTCAGCAGAACATTCTACCGGATCCTCAGCAGAACATTCTACCGGATCCTCAGCAGAACATTCTACCGGATCATCAGCAGAACATTCTACCGGATCATCAGCAGAACATTCTACCGGATCCTCAGCAGAACATTCTACCGGATCCTCAGCAGAACATTCTACCGGATCCTCAGCAGAACATTCTACCGGATCCTCAGCAGAACATTCTACCAGATCCTCAGCAGAACATTCTACCGGATCCTCAGCAGAACATTCTACCGGATCCTCAGCAGAACATTCTACCAGATCCTCAGCAGAACATTCTACCAGATCCTCAGCAGAACATTCTACCAGATCCTCAGCAGAACATTCTACCAGATCCTCAGCAGAACATTCTACCGGATCATCAGCAGAACATTCTACCAGATCCTCAGCAGAACATTCTACCGGATCCTCAGCAGAACATTCTACCGGATCATCAGCAGAACATTCTACCGGATCATCAGCAGAACATTCTACCGGATCCTCAGCAGAACATTCTACCAGATCCTCAGCAGAACATTCTACCAGATCCTCAGCAGAACATTCTACCGGATCATCAGCAGAACATTCTACCAGATCCTCAGCAGAACATTCTACCGGATCCTCAGCAGAACATTCTACCGGATCCTCAGCAGAACATTCTACCAGATCCTCAGCAGAACATTCTACCGGATCATCAGCAGAACATTCTACCAGATCCTCAGCAGAACATTCTACCAGATCCTCAGCAGAACATTCTACCAGATCATCAGCAGAACATTCTACCGGATCCTCAGCAGAACATTCTACCAGATCCTCAGCAGAACATTCTACCAGATCCTCAGCAGAACATTCTACCGGATCATCCGCCTGCTTCAGGTTTCTAGGAGCCAACTTCTACGTTCTCGTGAAACGTCGTCAGCTCAGCACCGTCTCAGTTCATAAGAACAGCAGATGTTGTTTTCACCTCTCCCTCTTTACCCAGAATGCATCAGAGCAGTCCGTTCTGCAGACTGAAAACGTTCCCAGCATGCACTGCGGCAGCAGCAGCTTCCAGGTTAGCGCTCACAGAGCTCAGAGTTAAGCTAAAGCTATAAAAACACGTTTTAAGATCATTTAAGGTGAGAACTTTATACTTTAAGCTTCAGTAGATCTATGTTTATCAGACGGTTCATCATTATTCCTCCACTAAATAAACATTTATTATAATCTAGAGACTATTAATAACAGGAGGTGAAATGCAGCTCCAGACTAGCTTTGATGATGTCATCAGTACGCTGCTGTTCCAGTTGACGCAGAGTTATTCTGCGTTCTCCTGTTCTCCCCAAGTCCAGACTTTCCTGGGTTCTAGTCCAGAACGGACTTGGACAGGAGTCTAAACTGGCGTTCTAGTGAATCCATCTTGAAGCTACTGTGGTGCGTTCACTGGCGTTCAGTAAACTAGAGGACTGATGGTGCTGCTTCTCATCAGACGGCTATCGTGTCCATGTCAGCGTTTTCATGTCCAAGACTGGAGACTCTTATTTTGAAAGCGGCTCCCTGACAGACCAAGTGATGCTGATACTCACCCAGAACACGTCGTAGACAAACAGCCCCCCCAGCAGGATGCAGCCAGTGCTGACGTTGTTCAGGTGGAGCAGCTCCACCCCGTTCAGCGCGAACGCCAGCCCAAACAGGTTATTGGCTATCCAGTGCTGTGATGTCACAGAGAACTCAGCAGTGATTGGCGGGGAGCAGAAGGGGCGGGGTGTGATACATGCAAACACAGCTTACCTTTTTGAGCAGGTACCAGACCCCCACCACGCTGCTGAGCACCAGACACACCAGGTTCTTGGTGTCGAACTCATAATTCACAATTTCTGAGGGCAGACGGACATTTGGGACATTAGGAGGCGCAGTTTGCTCCGACTTGAAAACCTTTAATTTAAACTGGAGAAGCCAGAGCGTCCTTCTGATCCACTACACCAGATTAAAAAACATGGAGGCAAAGCTTCACAGTTGAAGCAGCGTCTGAAACGTTTCACTGAACGCAGCTTCAATCGGATGTAATTCACTGAGGCTCCAGCAGGGGGCGGCGTGGCGCCAACAATGCAATGAGAGCAGAAAGGCAGCTCTCTGTGGCCCCCAGTCATCATTTAGTCTGACTCCAGGCAGGATGAGGAGCTGGAAGATCCACATGCAGCTCAGATCAGGATGTTGGTGAAGATTCTCAGTCATTCTAAAAGAGTTCAAATCAATCCGCTGGACTTTGTTTCTAAGTTTGAAGACGTTTCTCTTCCAACCAGGAAGATTTTTTAATTCAAAATGTCAGAAATAGCATCGAGTTCCAGGTTTTATATAGCCGCTCAACAAAGCCTTTTTTTTGTTTTTTAAACAGGTCCACCCCAGAGGAAAGGAGGTCGTTTAGCTTCTGCGCTCCTCTTTGTTGGGCGGCTGTATTGTTTTTGTTTTAAACTTTGTTTTTTTGGAAAGACTAAGATCGGGATGTTTCCTCAGCATCCAGCTGACGGATGGAGCTCCTCCAGGCCGGACCCTTTAAAACTGATCAAATCAATAAAGTCAATGCTAACACTCCCATCAGCTGTGACGTTGCTATGGTTACCAAGGCTAGCAAAGTCTTTCAGCAGGAAGGACGGACATTGGAACCGTCTCAGCATCAAGCTCTGACCCACCAACCTATGCTAACTAGGACTGCTAACCAAGGACTGCTAACCAGGACCACCAACCTATGCTAACTAGGGCTGCTAACCAGGACTGCTAACCAGGACCACCAACCTATGCCAACTAGACCCACTAAGCAGACATGCTAACCAGACCCACCAACCTATGCTACTAGACCCGCTAACCAGGACTGCTAACCAGGACCGCCAACCTATGGTAACTAGACCCGCTAACCAGGACTGCTAACCAGAACCACCAACCTATGCCAACTAGAGCCACTAAGCAGACATGCTAACCAGACCCACCAACCTATGCTAACTAGACCCGCTAACCAGGACTGCTAACCAAGACCGCCAACCTATGGTAACTAGACCCGCTAACCAGGCCTGCTAACCAGGACCGCCAACCTATGCTAACTAGGACTGCCAACCAGGACTGCTAACCAGGACCGCCAACCTATGCCAACTAGACCCACTAAGCAGACATGCTAACCAGACCCACCAACCTATGCTAACTAGACCCGCTAACCAGGACTGCTAACCAGGACCGCCAACCTATGGTAACTAGACCCGCTAACCAGGCCTGCTAATCAGGACCGCCAACCTATGCTAATTGGACCCGCTAACCAGGACTGCTAACCAGAACCACCAACCTATGCCAACTAGAGCCACTAAGCAGACATGCTAACCAGACCCACCAACCTATGCTAACAAGACCCGCTAACCAGGACCGCCAACCTATGCTAACTAGACCCGCTAACCAGGCCTGCTAACCAGGACCACCAACCTATGCTAACTAGACCCGCTAACTAGGACTGCTAACCAGGACCGCCAACCTATGCTAACTAGACCGACTAACCAGGACTGCTAACCTATGCTAACTAGACCGACTAACCAGGACTGCTAACCAGGACCGCCAACCTATGCTAATTGGACCCGCTAACCAGGACTGCTAACCAGACCCACCAACCTATGCTAATTGGACCCGCTAACCAGGACTGCTAACCAGGACCACCAACCTATGCTAATTGGACCCGCTAACCAGGACTGCTAACCAGACCCACCAACCTATGCTAATTGGACCCGCTAACCAGGACTGCTAACCAGACCCGCCAACCTATGCTAACTAGACCCGCCAACCAGGACTGCTAACCAGGACCACCAAACTATGCTAACTAGACCCGCTAACCAGGACTGCTAACCAGGACCGCCAACCTATGCTAACTAGACACACTAACCAGGACTGCTAACCAGGACAGCCAACCTAGGCTAATTGGACCCGCTTATCATGACTGCTAACCAGGACCGCCAACCTATGCTAACTAGACCCGCTAACCAGGACTGTTAACCAGGACCGCCAACCTATGCTAACTAGACCCGCTAACCAGGACTGTTAACCAGGACCGCCAACCTATGCTAACTAGACCCGCTAACCAGGACTGTTAACCAGGACCGCCAACCTATGCTAACTAGACCCGCTAACCAGGACTGTTAACCAGGACCGCGAACCTATGCTAACTATTCCCACACCCACTACCCTATATCCTGGATCAGTTAGCCGCGCCCAGCTTGGTTCCTTTGCCCGTTGTAGCGTGGTTTAAGCGAGGCTAGGACGGTCCCTCACTTCCTAGTGTCGGGTCGGTCCGGTTCAGTTTGGCGTAACATTTACACTCAACGGTTACCTTGGTAACCGGGCTGGGACTGATCTCAGCACAGTTTCACAGGGTTCTGTGTCTCTGGGTCATGGTTCCGATAGCTGCAAACGTTCCCTAGCAGGAAGCAGCCGGTACTCCGTCTGTGGTGGACAGACATCGGACCGCCGGCTCTGCTGTCCATCACAGCCGACACCGCCGTCACAACAGAACTTTCACTGAGCCCGGTGAAAGTTCTGGTGTGACTGCAGAGAAGAGGAGGCGACCCGGTTAAAGGGTTCGAACCGGAACAGGACAGCCGGGTCCAAACATTCAACAAAATGCTGAAGATTCAAAGATCATGGGTTAGTGGACCGCTAGCAGAACCGCTAGCTGGGTGGTTCTGTCCACCGGGTCTACTCACCTTCTTTGGACTCTCCAGAGCCCTGGGTGAAGAGCAGCTGGTACTGCTTGTTGGGGAAGGATGCCGGGAAGATTCTGGACATGGCCGGGCTGAGACACAAAGAACCCATTAGATCCACAGCAGCCACCAGGCCGGTTCTGGTGCCGGTTCTGGTACCGGTATTACCTCATGGTGTGAGACAGAGCCAGGACGCCCAGGACGAAGAAATAGACGGACAGCAGCAGGTTGATGTACTCCTGAGAGAAGACCTATGGGACGGAGGATGCTCTGTGAGGGACGCCGGAACCGCTTAGGACAGAACCAGCCGGTCCGGTCCAAACTCACCTTGAAGAAGAGGTAGAGTCCAAACAGGGTGCAGCTGGCGATGATGGGGAACCGGGCCGCGTCCCGACTGGTGATGGTCTCTGGAGCATCAGCCGAATTCTGGAAGAAACACGGACAGGATGAAGAACGGAACCACAACTGGACCCGACCTAGAGATGGTCCCGCCCACAGAACCAGCACCGACACAGCAGCTCAGCATCCAGAGGGTTTGGTCCAATTGGAGACCAGGAGGACCTGAATGCTCTCTGAAGGCCACTGGGTCAGAACCAGGAGGGCAGCAGACCAGACCGGTTCTGCTGACTTTCTGTTCTGGTGGGTCCGGAACCCTTCTGCTGCAGAAGGTCCACACAGCAGAACGGTTCTACTCTCCCTGGTGACCCAAACCGGGCCTAATGAACAGCACTTCTCCATCAGAACCATCTGCTCACAGGTTACCGGGCTGTAGAACCTGGTCCTGGAACACAGGAGGGGAGTGGCGGCCCACTGCTCCCTGAGGGGAGGCGTTAAATGCAGAGAGGGATTATTAAAGTATAAAAACTGAAACCCCTTTAACGAGTCAGAACTGAATCTGGGATTCTGGGACCAACAGAACAGCTTCTTCAGTCAGTGGGTCAGTCCAACAGAACCAGCTGAGCAGAACCAGAACTCCTGGTGATCATTTGGGTTCCCTCAGAGAGAACTTTGAATCTCTCACTGGAGGATCTGATTGATCTGGATCTATAGAGAGCCGAGATGACATGTCATGAAGTTGAGCTATAGAAATAAAGTGGGTAGAATTTGATCATCTCCTGGAGATGTGCTCCTAGTTCAGTCATGGGCCTCAGGTCCAGCTGGTGTGGTTAGGGTTAGCTTCAGGTGATTAGCAGCACCATCTGAGGCGGGTCAGAACAGGGATGGGTGGTTCTGGAGGAGCAGAGCTGCAGACATCAGATCCCAGGGAGGAATCGGTGCAGCTCTAGCTTTATACATCTGGACTCCAAGCCTCAGCCTCTCCCGCTGTGGTTGAAAATCCCCAGAGGACCCAAACATTCCACGTTTGTTTGTGGTGAGAAAACAGGGCGGCTTTGATCTAATACTCACTCTGAAGCCAGAATGGTAGGAATTCTCTCCGAGCTCCTACAGAGACAGACGGATGATAGAGGACAGACAGACAGAGAGAGAGAGAGAGAGAGACAGGTCAGGCTGGAGACGGGGACAGCAGGAAGCAGACAACAGGAAGCAGTGAGCTGGAGGCAGTCAGAGGGAAGCAGTAGGTAGGAAGCGGCAGCGGGAAGCAGGAAGCAGAAGGTGGGAAAGGGCAGCGGGAAGCAGTCAGTAGTAAGCAGGAAGCAGTTAGAGGAAAGCAGGAAGCAGTCAGTGGGAAGCAGACAGCAGGAAGCAGACAGCGGAAAGCAGTCAGTAGTAAGCAGGAAGCAGTTAGAGGAAAGCAGGAAGCCGTTAGAGGAAAGCAGGAAGCAGTTAGAGGAAAGCAGGAAGCAGTTAGAGGAAAGCAGGAAGCAGTCAGTGGGAAGCAGACAGTGGGAAGCAGACAGCGGGAAGCAGACAGTGGGAAGCAGACAGCGGGAAGCAGACAGTGGGAAGCAGACAGCGGGAAGCAGACAGTGGGAAGCAGACAGTGGGAAGCAGTCAGTAGTAAGCAGGAAGCAGTCAGTGGGAAGCAGACAGTGGGAAGCAGGAAGCAGTTAGAGGAAAGCAGGAAGCAGTCAGTGGGAAGCAGACAGCAGGAAGCAGACAGCGGAAAGCAGTCAGTAGTAAGCAGGAAGCAGTTAGAGGAAAGCAGGAAGCCGTTAGAGGAAAGCAGGAAGCAGTTAGAGGAAAGCAGGAAGCAGTTAGAGGAAAGCAGGAAGCAGTCAGTGGGAAGCAGACAGTGGGAAGCAGACAGCGGGAAGCAGACAGCGGGAAGCAGACAGTGGGAAGCAGACAGCGGGAAGCAGACAGTGGGAAGCAGACAGTGGGAAGCAGTCAGTAGTAAGCAGGAAGCAGTCAGTGGGAAGCAGACAGTGGGAAGCAGACAGTGGGAAGCAGACAGCGGGAAGCAGACAGCGGAAAGCAGTCAGTAGTAAGCAGGAAGCAGTTAGAGGAAAGCAGGAAGCCGTTAGAGGAAAGCAGGAAGCAGTTAGAGGAAAGCAGGAAGCAGTTAGAGGAAAGCAGGAAGCAGTCAGTGGGAAGCAGACAGTGGGAAGCAGACAGCGGGAAGCAGACAGTGGGAAGCAGACAGCGGGAAGCAGACAGTGGGAAGCAGACAGCGGGAAGCAGACAGTGGGAAGCAGACAGTGGGAAGCAGTCAGTAGTAAGCAGGAAGCAGTCAGTGGGAAGCAGACAGTGGGAAGCAGACAGTGGGAAGCAGACAGCGGGAAGCAGACAGTGGGAAGCAGACAGTGGGAAGCAGAAAGCGGGAAGCAGACAGCAGGAAACAGACAGAGGAAAGCAGACAGCGGGAAGCAGTCAATAGGAAGCAGTCAGAGGGAAGCAGACAGCAGGAAGCATTCAGAGGGAAGCAGACAGCAGGAAGCAGACAGTGGGAAGCAGTCAGAGGGAAGCAGGAAGCAGACAGCGAGGGAAGTGGGAAGCAGACAGTGGGAAGCAATCAGAGGGAAGCAGGAAGCAGACAGCGGGAAGCAGTCAGTAGGAAGCAGTCAGAGGGAAGCAGTCAGCAGGAAGTGGGAAGCAGACAACAAGAAGCAGACAGTGGGAAGAAGACAGCGGTAAGCAGACAGTGGGAAGCAGGAAGCAGTCAGTGGGAAGCAGACAGCGGGAAGCAGTCAGAGGGAAGCAGACAGCGGGAAGCAGACAGTGGGAAGCAGTCAGAGGGAAGCAGGAAGCAGACAGCGGGAAGCAGTCAGTAGGAAGCAGTCAGAGGGAAGCAGTCAGCAGGAAGTGGAAAGCAGACAGCAAGAAGCAGACAGTGGGAAGAAGACAGCAGAAAGCAGACAGCAGTCAGTAGGAAGCAGACAGCGGGAAGCAGTCAGTAGGAAGCAGACAGCGGGAAGCAGTTAGCAGGAAGCAGACAGTGGGAAGCAGGAAAAAGTCAGTGGGAAGTAGGAAGCAGTGAGTAGGAAGCAGGCAGTGGGAAGCAGTTAGCAGGAAGCAGACAGTGGGAAGCAGGAAAAAGTCAGCGGGAAGTAGGAAGCAGTGAGTAGGAAGCAGACAGTGGGAAGCAGTTAGCAGGAAGCAGACAGTGGGAAGCAGGAAAAAGTCAGCGGGAAGTAGGAAGCAGTGAGTAGGAAGCAGACAGTGGGAAGCAGTTAGCAGGAAGCAGACAGTGGGAAGCAGGAAAAAGTCAGCGGGAAGCAGTCAGCCGTAGGCAGACAGTGGGAAGCAGACAGCGGGAAGCAGGAAGCAGACAGAGGGAAGCAGACAGTGGAAAGCAGTGGAGCCACCAGGGCATAGCTTGTTCAACATTGGCAGCAGAGATTACATTAACGGGAGAAAAGTTGTACAGCCCATGATGCCGGTCCATCCTGGTCCCTACAGCCCACCCACCCCCCGCTCACAGCTGAACCTTCATCTGCACCAGCGCCGTTAGCTGGGATGCTAACCGGTTAGCATCGGCTAACGGGTTGTGTTTACCTTGGACTTGGAGCAGGTGACGGAGCGCAGGGCTCCGAAGAAGATGGGCAGCAGGGCCATGAGCACCAGGCTGCCGTAGGCCAGCGCCGTCCCCTCCGGAGTGGCCACGAACTTAGCCGAGGCGTTCACCGCTTCGGTCCCGTTAGAGTCCGAGGCGTTCAGCGCGGCTTCCGCTTCTGCCATTACGGGTCTATTCAGAGGTTCTGCTGGAGATGTTCCGAGGCCGAGAAATGAGGCTCCTTCATCTACCGGAGCTCAGGAAGGACACGTTTCCTAAAGCAGAGAGCAGGCGATGCACAGGAGGGCTCACTCTGACGCGTTTCCGGAACCTCAGGAAGGCCACGTCTGCTAAAGAAGACTTCTTTAAGGAGGTCTCACTCTGATCTATATCCTAAAACCAAATGCAGCCACCTGGAGAGCACAGTGAGACCTCTCCTCATTTTGCCAGCTCTAGATCTATGATGGAGGGAAGCTGCTTAGAGGAAGAACGCTCTCTGGATGAGAGCAGTCTATAATAACGGACAGCTTAAAGGGGAACGCAGTTTTTGTTCCTTGATTTTCCGTTATTCCATCATGTTCTTCTCACCCATATGAGTTTTATTGGAGGCTTTGTTAACAAGATCCAGAGAGTTTCTAGAAACCTAGAAGGGAAATGATGGCAGCAGGTCACCGCTGATAGTGTCAGAGTTAGAATGGCCGCTCATTCCACCTCCTCTCAGGTGCTACAGGTGTCAGCGCTACGCACACCTGGCAGCAGCTTTTTGTTCAAAATGCAGAGAAGAAACCCAGAATGGAGGAGAGCAGGGAAGAAAGGTGCTGCAGCTGCGGAGGCAGCACAGTTAACTGGAGGACGGGAGGAGAGAGAGAAAGCAGGTTAGAAGTACAACAACTAGAAGATACACAGAACCGCAGAAGAGAGTTCAAGGACAAAGGAAGGAGAAATGAATCAAGATCAGAGTAAAGAGAAGACAATTTCACTCAAACAGCAGAGAAACAAAATTTATTTCTAATTTCTGTAATGAACTGTTCAGACCCAGCCCCCCCCCCCCCCCCCGACCCAGGCCCCCACAGACCAGGTGCAGATGGAAGTTCACATGGAACCAGCATGCTTCCTAGCACCAGTGCAGTTAGCATAGGGACGTCCCAATCTGGTGCATAGGAGCTTTACATTTTCCCACCATCCGTGTCACATGGTCCTCGGGAGCCGCTGTCCTGCATCCGTGTCCTCGGTCCAGCACACCTGAATCAGGTTGTGAACAGAACTCTGGAGAACCTGGTTTCCCACCAAGGAGCTCGTCCACACGCTGCTGCCGCCTTATAGACTCACTCAGAGTCTGATTACTATCCACCTGCTGCTTCTGGTCGAGTCTTATCTAGAAATGTTTTTCTTTTTTTAACCAGAGTTTGGGTCCTTCTGCTAACCCGCTAACCACTGTTAGCAGCCTTTTAAACTGGCTTGCCTTGAATGTTACCTCTGTGCAGGTTTGTTATACATCCCAACCAGCAGCTTTAAAGTTCAACAGAAAAAAAACAGATTTTATTCAAGTTCTGCAGTTTCCTGCCATCTAACCATTTTTCATCAGACTCTGCACAATGTGAACACATTTACAGCAAAATAAACAGAACAAATATGGAAAATAACCCTGGAATCAGATAAAAACAACCATTTTCATTTAAAACCATAAAACATGTAAAAAAGGTTCTTCTCCCAGTCTGGAGGCGTTTCCTGCAGGTCATCAGATTAGAGAAGCTGAGCAACAGATCATAACTAATCTCCTTATTTAAACATTTCTCCAGCTGAGAGGAGGAAATAAAACCCAGAAACTGGAACATTTAAAAACCAAACATTCTTCCTGTACATTAATCACATCTGCTAAAGATTATCACAGATTAATAAACTGCTTCATTAAAATCCAGGAGAAGACGATCACAGAGTGGCAACGAAGAACTAGATCACTGCAGAGACACCGAGGAGGATCAGCAGGGGCGTGGCCTGAAGGAAGAAGGCGGAGCCTTTCAATCTCACCTCCACTGGAAAGTGGTCGCTAACAGCCAGCACCTGCAGACAGAAGCAACAGAACCCAGAGTTAAACAGTTTATCAGATGATTGACAGCATCTTTCAATAAAGCCCTCAAAGCTTTGCTCTCAATTTGCCCAAAATAAAAGTAAGCAGAGAGCAGCTGAGAGTCCTTTATCCTCCGGCTTCCCGCCTCACAGCTTAGAGAACATCAAGGACCAGAGCTGGCAGGTTCTGTTCAGAGCAGGGTTAGCTTCTGTCTGCTAGATCTCTGCCCATCATGGACAGAGGACGGCCCATATTCAGGCTCTACTTGTGCAGAAAGCCGCCCTCTGCTGGTCAGCTAAACAGACCTGGGTCTGCCCGGAGAGCCTCCCGGGGGTCTGCCTGAGGAGCCTCCCGGGGATCCGCCCGGAGAGCCTCCCGGGGGTCTGCCTGAGGAGCCTCCCGGGGATCCGCCCGGAGAGCCTCCCGGGGGTCTGCCTGAGGAGCCTCCCGGGGATCCGCCCGGAGAGCCTCCCGGGGGTCTGCCTGAGGAGCCTCCCGGGGATCCGCCCGGAGAGCCTCCCGGGGGTCTGCCTGAGGAGCCTCCCGGGGATCCGCCCGGAGAGCCTCCCGGGGGTCTGCCTGAGGAGCCTCCCGGGGATCCGCCCGGAGAGCCTCCCGGGGGTCTGCCTGAGGAGCCTCCCGGGGGTCCGCCCGGAGAGCCTCCCGGGGGTCTGCCTGAGGAGCCTCCCGGGGGTCCGCCCGGAGAGCCTCCCGGGGGTCTGCCTGAGGAGCCTCCCGGGGATCCGCCCGGAGAGCCTCCCGGGGGTCTGCCTGAGGAGCCGCCCGGAGAGCCTCCTGGGGGTCTGCCTGAGGAGCCGCCAGGTGTTTGTTTCCTTCCCTGGGTCAGCAGTCTCACCATATTCCGATTGATCTTAAACTCTTTGCCGAAATTGAAGACTCGTCCAGACTGTGGCCTTGTTGCCATCAGGAAGGGTTCTCCATAAACCACGATCCTACCAGGGGTGGAAGGAGAACATCAGGTTAGAGGGCTCACTTTGATTTGGAGAAGCTCTGCAGGCAACGCCAACCTGTCGTATGCACAGTCGGTCTGCTCGGTGACGGTGGTGTCTTCTCGGTCTCCTATCAACCACGTGAAGTTGGTGTTGGTGAAGAGTCGGATGTTCTTCCTGTCGTTGCGAGTGACGTAAGCGCAGCCGGCATGGAAATCTCCCAGGAACATCACATTCTGCACAGACAGATTAATACCGTGTCAGTAAACTCCCAGGGTTGCGTTTCACAAAGTCAGACTCTAATCCTTAACTCTGAATTGATCTATTCTATTCAGTTTATTTCTATAGCTCCAATTCACATCATGTCATCTCAGGTCACTTTCCAGATCAACCAGATCATCCAGTCAGATTGATTCAAAGTTTTCTATCTAAGGAAAACCAGCTGATTGCATCGACTCATTGACTCTTCAGCAATCCCTCACACTAAGCATGCTTGTAGCGACAGTGGAGAGGAAAAACTCCCTTTGAACAGGAAGAAACCTCCAGCAGAACCAGGCTCAGTGTGAGCGGCCATCTGCTGAGGCCCACTGGGGTTCAAGGAGACAGAAGCAGACATAGAAAAAGAAGCATAGATACAAAAGGCAACTGTCAACCAGCTCCACAGGCGGCCCCGTCCAGGAAACACACAGCCAGGCAGACGAGCTCCGAGCCAGCTCCCATGTCAGAGGATGAAGAGAGCACATCCAGTTAGTCACAGTCAGAGAAACAGGACTAAACTGGAAAACAGGTCAAGCTCCAACATCTAGAAACAAAGGTGT